ATATGGGCTGGTTTGTGCTTAACAAATACTACGCTTTGTCAGACCAGACGCCAGTGTATGCAGCGGCGCTCCTGCTTGATCCTTCGAAGCGACGAAAATACATTGAACGGAATTGGAAAGAGCCCTGGCAAGCTCCTGCTGTTGATACCGCTCGCGAAATTTAGTTAGAAGAATACAAGTCTACGGCGAGCCCTGATTTGCAGGTTCCTACAGATGCGCCTTCTTCTGCTAGCAGACAGCGTAACGAGCTGGATGAGCTCTTAAGTGATATAGCGGTGACTAGCCCGATAGTAGGCGATGCTGATGACTTCGAAACATTTAGTTGTGCTCCTTCTACCCGGATTACCGGATCTCCGCTCGAGTAGTGGCTACATTCAGACCAAAGGAAAGCATACCCGCGGCTTTCTCGTATGGCAATAGATATCCTCTCCATTCCTCCTGAATCATCTGACGCAGAGTCTCATTTCTCATCCGCGCGCCGCACGCTATCTTGGGATAGAGAGCGCATGACGTGCGAGAATCTGGCGAAGGTGGAGTGTGTGGGTAACTGGATACGGGAAGGTATCATTGTTCCCAAGTTGCGCGGTGGTAGGGGCGTAATTTCGAGCGTAGCTGTAGAATTCGGCATGGATACGGAGGTTGAAGACTTGCTAGACTAGATCACCGCCACATTGACATTGAATCTATAAATAGATGTGGCTTAAATGGATATCAACCTTGCTAAAGTGGCTATGTGGCTATATGGATATCAAACTGGATATATCGATATCCAAATAAGATGTTGGGCTTATGTGGATATCGATATAAGGCTCGAAATTTTGGTGGATATCGATATACGCAAGTCTGGATCATGGTGTTCATATTGCTAGCGTTGTCCATCACGAAGTATCCGACCTTGGAAGCGATTCCGTATTCTCGTATGAATTCCATGATAGCCTCCGCCATATTCTCGCCGCTGTGCTGGCCCTCTAGCTCTTTTATTCCCACCACAAGCGATTGAAGGCCATAGTCTTCAGTCACAAACTGAACCATGAAGCCTATCGCGCCTAAGCCATTCGGCGAAGTCCAATTGTCCGGCACAATATAGATTGACGAGAGCGAGTTTTGCAGCGCGCGCTTGACAAACTCTCGTTTGCAATCATAGCCCTGCTTCAGGTCAATTTTGATCGTGCCTGCAGACTTCGGTAGAAGATCGTCCGCGGCTGGCCGTATGTAACGTATCAGGTCGCGGAATGCTGGCTGCTCAACGTGAGCGAACGGGAGGCTGCACGCTACTGTGTAGCGGCAGTAGAGCTCGCGCAGGGCGTCTGGGTCTAATTCATCTTCCTCCGTCGTCGCCTTTCGTTTCTTAGTCGGGTGAAAGGCTTCCCCAGCAAGGAAAGAAGCAATATTTCCAAGCCTTCCTTTTGTTACCTCCCTGCTGGCCTCATGCTTGCCGCAGATCATGATGCTATGCTCCTTGCGCAAGTGGTTGATGATGGTGGACGATCCGCCCGAGTATTTGTAACGCTTAGCTTTTTTCTTCTTATAGCAAGGCTGGCAATGCCACCATCGCGTGCCGTCTGAATCAATCCATGCCCCGGGAACAGTCTTGCCCTCTGCTAACCGACAATGCAACCAGATTGGGGAAGTCTTTTGTCGCAGAGCGCTTAGAGCCGCATCGGCCGATGTTGCCGAAAAAGGAGTGCCTGCCGGTAGGTCTGGATCATCTAGGAAGCCTGAACTACTACCAGTGCTATTAGACTCTGCCACTCCCGCTATTAAGGACATTGCGTGACATGATGAAGCATAAATTTCCAGGCGAAAAACGACTACCTCTGGTCTTATTTGCTTCTCGAAACGAAAGCGATATGCCTTCCACAAGCGACTTGGTTGCTTTTTCCATAGCTAGTCGCGCTGGGATACGCGTCAGTGTCGCGCGTGTTACGTGTGTTGCACTGGGGACTTCATCAGCCTATTTAATATTATTGGTGAAGCTAGTACACCAAGTATAGCAATACTTACCCTGAAATAGCCATTTACGAGCCATGTAAGAAGATTAGACGCTCAACTGTAAGGAGCTGGGGCATATTTTCGCTTCCTAAAAAAAGACGTTACAGCAGGGGAGAGCTTTTAACCCTATAAAAATGGTTACAGGGTGGAATGTACGCGTCAGCCTTGAGAGGACAGACCAACCGGTTTGCGTTTGCAGACTAATAGTGTAACCGCGGTTTGAGATGTTGGAACCGAACCGTCAGGGCGGTTTGGCTGAGACAAACCGAACCGCCAGTCAGACCGGAGAAGGCAGACCGGACCGCGGGTCCACTTAGGAAAACTCGAACCGGACTATTAGTGTGCGGACTATTAGTGCAAACCGCGGTTTGCACTAATAGTCTAAAAAACCGTCTGCACTATTAAGAGCGCTGCCCCTCCCACGGCGCTTCGCTCCGAGTATCTCCTCCACCTCCCATTGTTCTTCATTGTCTACCAGGATAGGTCCAGGCTGTTGATCATCAGTCTTCTGTGATGGCAGTGTATCATCTGCTGCTATACGTAGAAGAGAGACGTGGAATACGTTGTGGATTCCCGGTGGTGTATCGAGACGGCAAGCATGCGATCCAATTGTCTCGATTACTGTGTATTTCGCGGCAAGCTAGTCTAGTTTCTTCGATGGTCTTGTAGAGTGAATGTTTTTAAGCCTCAGCCAAACTCTATCCCCTTTTTTGAACTGATCGGATGGCTGCCGGTGTATATTGGCGTTCTTTTCTTGCGTCTCTTGCGCCGATGCCATGGCGGCTTGTGCCCACTCTGACGCTTCACGAAACTTTGATACAATGGCTTCGGCCTTCTCAATTGGCGTCGACCCGTCTTGACGTAATGACTCGTTAATCTCTAGCGGGTCGAGGTGGTATCCGTGGGTAAGAAAGAAAGGGCTTATTCCTGTGGCGGTAGCTGTCCGATTGTTTAGTGCTATAGCTGCTGCTGGTAATAGTTCATCCCAGTTATCTTGGCTGTATGTTGTAAATATGCGTAGATATTGTTCTATTTCCTGATTCGCACGCTCTGTAGATCCGTCTGTCTCTGGGTGCCAGGCTGTAGAGAGCCGCTGCTGTATTCTGAGGATTCCACATATACGGCGCCATAATTGTCCTGTAAACTGTGTTCCTCGGTCGGAGACGATAGCTTTTGGCAAACCGTGATGCCGTATGACGCTCTGCAGTAGCGCCTTTGAAACTGCCTCCGCGGTTGCTTCTTTTAATGGTTCTAATACAATACTCTTCGATAATCGATCCGTGACTACCATGAGCGTTGATCTACCATTTGACTTTGTAGGCGGGAGCCCTGTGACGAAGTCGATCGATATCTCTGACCAGATCCGATTTGGTATTTGTAGCGGCTTCAGTAATCCACGCTTCTTCTCTCGCCAAACGTTTATCCTTCCGCAGATATTGCAGTTCCGCATGAATTGGCGTATGTCAGGGTCCATTCCAGGCCAATAGAACCGTCGACTAAGTAGTGACTTCAGCATATCGCGCCCTGGATGTCCGGAGAGAGTTGAATCGTGTGTATCTTGAATGATACGAGTGCGAAGAGGCTCATAATACGGTACCCAGATCCGGTCCCGCCAGCATAGCCTTCCGTCAGTGTCAATTGAACACTCNCAGGTAGGTGTGCCATTGCACATTCTTTTCAGCAGTAATCAAGTCGAACTTTGGTCCCCAGCTCTCTTGGGTAGAGAGGAGAGTCTCTTCGGCTTTGAGAGTCCGCGCAGTGATAGCCCAACCGGTGTTCGTTGGTTTGATGTCTTGGATGTCCTTGGGATCGATAATGCAGCCTGTGCGAGCGCAAGGCGGATTTGGTAGCCGTGTTTATTGAAGAGTTCAGAGCCGCGTTTAATACGGAGGAGAATACGCTTATCGAGTTTAGCGGGCTGCGTTCGGGGTGTATTGTCAGTACAAGCGGCCTTGCAGACTTCGATATCGCCGGGCCGTTTTCCGTCAGCGGCAGCGGCACGGGCAGCCTAGCCGCCGGCCGGAGCGGGGCGGGGATCAAGGCCGGGGTTCGAGATGTTGGCGGCGGGTTTATGAAGCTTCACCGCTATGTTGTCCTTAGGGTATATGCCCTTTTTTTCACCGGGTTGCTGACGCATAAAGTTATCCCATTGAATTAGCAGAGATTTGGAGAAATCCCGCGCAATCTGCAAAGCATAGCCTTTGGTGTATTGTTTGGCGCAGTCGTTGATCACGGTCGCAAAGGTTCTCAGAACTTCAGTACGCGTCTGAAGGCGGTCCATCTCTTTCGTGAGAACGCTTTCGGCATGTTGTTCGATGTCAATTGGGCCAGGTTTGTCTAGTTCGTCCGCCAGGTTGTTGTATATTTTCGATATATAGTCTTGGCGGTTTCGTTTGGGGCTTCGTCCTCGGTATGGAATTGGTCCTTGGAGCATTGGACTGCTACTAGGCTGGAACGGCTGGTGAGTTGTCGCAACTCTTCCTTGAAGCAAAACCGCTTGGGCCTTGCTGATTAGAATTGGGTTCATGGCAGCCGCGGGCGTTCGCACCTTGGTGGCCTCGGGGGTGACGAGATCAATCGCCATGCCTTCGGCAGCACTCTAGGTGCGATAAGCGAGTTTTGGATGTCTTTTGAGTTCGATCCGAGTATATTATCTACGTAATTTCTACAAAAGCTAAATTTGGCCTTGTAGATGTAGATGAACATGTCCGAGCTGAAATATCTATGTTGGATATAGGGTAGCTGTTATACACTTGCCACCGCCCCTTGTGCCCACCGTATTTTCTTACCATTCGCTGTCAACAGAGCTGCATGAGAGCTGTCAGGCAAAGGTTTTCTGGCCGTTCCTGTTTGGGGCTCGTTTGGTCGCCAAAATTGTGCTGGTGATGTTCTAGAAGCCTGCTGGCTTATGCGCGGCGAGGTGTGCTCTGGCATCGACACTGGCGAACTCCAAGGCTTGGACACGTTCTGCTCATCAATGGGTGTTGGGGGTGTGGGCGTTGGGGTGCTGTGAGATGACATGCCTGTCGACGACTGTACGCGTGCTATGAGCGGCTGTGTCGACGGTGGCGCTTCGTTTGTCGCAACATCCTCCGTTTCTTGGATGTCCTGCCTATTTTGTCTATTCTTGGTCTACTTCCCCTGTCTTCGACGCTTCGAACCACTTCCTACAGCTTTGCTGGGTGCTGGCCGCTTAGTAGCGCTGGCACCGGCCTTTTGTTTTGCCAACTTGATTTGATGTCTGCGCTCCTCTCTTAATGCCTCTTTAGCCCGTCTCATCGAAGGCAAATAGGAACTATCTTGCCAAGGTTGAGATTCTGCGCTGGGAGCCTCATAGCCTGTATGTTCGACCTGGCTGTCGGTCTCGTTGTCCTCTTGATAGAATGGTGCTGATGGTGTGCGATGTTGAGAGAAAGTACAGCTTGCCTGCGCATCATCCTCGTCTCTGTTCCTGGCTGCTATTACCCGCTTGGCAGCTCTATTACGGGCCTGCTGTTTGTCCTGCCGTTTTATTGCCGCTCTGGCGTCTCTTATCGCTCTTGCTGAACCCAAGTAGGCCATATCGCGCCGAGGATGATATTGTGCGCTAGGAGTCTCTTGGCCTGCAGGTTCGACATGGCTATTAGTCTCATTATGCCGTTGGGCTGACCTGTATTGCTCTTGAAGAGACAATGCTGATGGTACGCGATGCTGAGAGAGAGCACCACCACCATCCATGCTTCTGGCCCCTCCCCTGTGATCTATCAACTCCCACAGCTCTTGCTCCAAGTTTATATTATTTGCCCACTTCCCCGAATAGTATTACGGATTTGTGCGTATAGGTCCTCTAGTTTAGGCACACTTAGACAACTGGCGTCTGCTTCTGGCACTATTTAGCTTAAATGTACCGCGTCCACAGCCGATCTCTCGATGCGATCCACCTCTTCCTGTGAAAGTATACCGCCACGGCGCTGTGAATGCTTGATCGTCCATGGTAGTATATCGTCTAACCCTGGGGTGGTCTAGACTAGGATCAGGATATCCCTCCATGCGCTATGCATAAAGAGAGACTTATACGCTCTCGTCCCGCTTGACCACTTTTGCTCTAGTGTTATCCGACCTTTATCCTTGAAGAATGGCATGTGAATGCGTACGTAGTTGATGATGTTGTTTTGTAGCTGTATGCTGTCTCGCTCTGCCTGCTGCTCAAACTCTGCTGTATCCTGTACCATGCTGATGCTTTTGATCGCGGACTTCACATCCTCTTGTAGTTACGGCTTGTTATTTATTCGCGGAGTCACTTTAGCTGCGCTGTGGTTTACCCAGCTCACTACAACCTCCATCACTCCGGAAATAATCGCAGCCTCTTGCTTTGTTATTTTGAACAATGCCCTAATTTTAGGAAGCTGCAGCACACCTGCCAAGCAGATATGGTCCATCATGCCCCAATATTGCTCCGCCGTCGCCTTGATAAGTAAACCGGTGCGCCTTCCCGTCTCCACGCAGCGCTCTTTGCTTCCAGAACAAGGGTAAAAGAATTCCTTAATTCGTTCCAGCGATTCGAACTTGGAACGGTCCGCAATCAGCATATCCCAGTCACGAAGACGTATAATATCGACTAAATTACCAGGCATCTCTTGCAGCGTCTTCATGGCATCGTACATCCTAGCGGTCCAGTACTATATTCAGTCATTAGTATACCTCCAGCGTATCACAATACACTAGACACCTACCTCGTCTATCCGTTGGCCTGCTATAGATACGAACAAGGAAATATTAAATATATCCCCACCCAGCGCTGTCTGGCTCCACTGCGTCAACACCTCCCTCCACCGGTCGTTCCTCCATAGCGTGATCAAGCGACACATAGGAAGACCTGACTTCCGGCCCAGCTTCAGTGTCTCTATCAGGCGCAGCTCTATGTCTTCCCGCCTGACTTGCATGAGCATCCGGTCTAGCTTAGCTGCGAGAACTAGCTGCGACTACACCTGCGCGTGGCTGTCAGACAAGCTTAGATCCCGTCGGTTTATCTAAAGCGGTATCTTCAGAAAATTTGGCACCTGATCTATATACTACTATTAGCCATCTTTTCTCTCGTGTCAATCTCACAGCATTACTTACCTATATCTAGCACTTTGCATGGCCACCACAGCTCATCATCGCTTAAGCCCATTGCCTTTACATATTTTCGAAATACTTCAGTACGATGCTGGCCTGCCCATAGCTCAAGCTTTGTTGTTGGATGGATCTGGGTCTAATTTAAAAAGTTAAGCAGATGATCGGGGCTATGATCACCAGCAACTACTCTAGCGTGTGTCGACATTTGCGTAAAGACATCTGCGCTGCATGCAACCACGAGATAGTGCTCCTCGCTCAGCCTCTGCAGGTGGCTATCTTGGAATATGTTCTATAGCTTCTGCACTTGTCTTTCTTGCAGATCGCGGTTGCTTCCCTCGGACCACTAGTTGGTCAAGGCATTAAAAAGGACGATAGCTGTTCTTAACTCGTAGGGTTGGGCTAGCTTGCGTAGCGATGGTGCGTCGGGGATGCTGCTGGGATAGGCTTCGGACTGGTTGTTATGATTTCCTATCGTTTGTCGATCAGGCATGGTCGCCGGCATAGTGATATATACAAGTAGGAATAAATTATAGATATGTCGTGTACCTGTAGGAGTAGCTAGCTAGGACGAGAGACCTTTATAAGAACGTAGTGATGTGTTTTTATTATTCTGTTTAGCGTGGGATGGCCCCTAAAGCCAAGATGGGTCCAATTTCCCGCGTCTGTGTAAAAGCTGCGCCCGGGGGCAGATAAAGTTCGTGACGCGTTCTGCTTTAGGTATACTGCCGCCGGGGGCAACAAGTTTCAAAGTAAGCCTTAAACACTGAAAAGCACATATGCACCATGGAAGGTTGCCCCCGGGGGCAGCCTATCTCACCAACCCAAAATTGTGCCTTGCCGCCGGGGGCAGGTCCTCGCTAAGGATTCCGCGACGACAATATAATAGCATACTACACAGCCATACTACACAGCCATAATATAATCACTCATGCACACACAGGAAAACTGACCTGGATAGATAGTGAAAGCAGAAAGGAAAAAGAAAGGAAAAAGAAAGGAAATACAGATAGTAGGATATAACGCCTAGTGTGATGGTCGACTGGCTAGAGAGACCGACGAAAACAAGGCGTACTAGGTATAGAAAAGCTGCCCCCGGGGGCAAAGGCAACTGCGCAGCTCTCAGCAACAGTAAAGTGGGGTAATCTAACCTCACAGTACCCCTCAACAGTAGAGAAACAAGGCTATAATCCTTCAAGGTAGCTTTTAGGCTATAGAAAGCTCTTATAACCTTTGTAGGTATTTATACTATTCATCTATCTACTACTAGACTCAGAATATAAGAGATATATACTTAATTCATGTTATTACTACACGAAGGCTATATCACTTAATCTTCTCCTGGGCACGTAACATGAATCAAACTGTGTTCGTTTTAGCAAGTCGGCGAAAGCGCGGGTTGGGATGACGTGACTCACCCATCTGTAGCTGTGCTAGCAACTATATTACCGTTAACATTTTTCTATATTCAAAAGAGTTTTTTTTTTTTTTTAGCTATTAAACTTACAGCAAACATCCCCCTTTTTATTATCACAACTTCCTGATGTACAGCCGCGGCGAAAGCTTCCACCGTCTAGCCATTTGCCGATACAACCCCAAGCTTTGCCTTTATATAATTTGCACTCCTATGTATAGTATTGTCATTAGGAGCGGAAAGAGAAGCGGATGCGATTGACTTACACCCATTCCAGTATTTCTCGCGACAAGGTGGCCGGCCGCGGAGGCCTCGCCTAGAGTAGGACCATCTTCCATCGGAATGGCACGGACCAGAGCCGCAGTGAGGAGAGGAATCGTGACATTGAGTTTCATGTTAACGATCGATATTTTGAACTAAAAAGACAAGTCGAACGTCGTTGAAAGTTTCGATATATAACTTGCTAATATATATATATATTTCCATAGCTAGCTAGAAGTGAGATATCTCCCGTCTTATAGGACCGTTCGTCGTTGGAGATATCACCGCTTTTACTACCAAGATAGAACTTACAAGGTAGTTGGAACGTACTATACCCATCCAACTTCGTAGTTAGCCCATTAGACCCA